CTACAATGTGAAAAGAAGTAGTCAAACACACCATTGTCTGGATTCATTAATATAGAATATAAATCTGTGTACCGAGCCTTCCACTGAGAATTGGCGAAAACCATGAATTGGCGATCCAGGTCCTCTACCGTGTAAGAAGTTGAATAAGACTTTACTGTGATGTTGAAGGACATTCCCAGGAACCAACTTGCCTCCGGCCTGACTATGACCAACTCATGTCCTCTCTGGATGAGTTTCTCCACAACTGCACGCATGGTGAACCAGTGGCTCCCATCCATGGGTACAACCAGCAGCTTGCCTGCCTCCACAAAGCCAGATGTGAGCAGGAAACACACACACAGAGGAAGGACACCCCTCAAAATTGCAGGTGCCATCGGTAACTGCAGTCCAGAGCCACTTGCTGTGTGGATTCTAAGCTTGTTTGATACTGTTGGTAGAACCACAGGCACAAAACCTGCCCTAAGAGAGGGTGTGTGTTTCTCCACCCACCTAGAAATTTCCACTCACTGCCAATGATTTACTCATAAAAACAATCATGAATGAGTAGCGTTTGGTGAGGTAACTTCTGTATGTTTCTTAAACAAGCATAACTTTTGATCTTTGCCTTGGGCAGGTATCAAGTCCAGTCTTGCACTGTGAATTTAGAAATAAAATTATTAAGCGACTCTTTTGCAGTAGCTTCCGTAGCAGGTGGAAAACAGAGTGGGGGGGGGTGTGTGACAGAGCAGGGAGGTCATGGATCAAACAGGGTGACACAACATCAACTGTCCATAAAATGTTTGCACGGTGATTCAGCTGAAATTTATCTTTTTTTAAATAAAAAATTCCTGTAGTTAGTAATGAAGGAGCTCTATGGGAACCTTTGCTTACAGTGTTCAATTGCTAACCGAAAGGCCAGTGATTGGAATCAAACCACTGTTCCGATGGAGAAAAGACTGGCAGTTTGTTTCCATAAAAGTTACAGCCATGGAAACCCCATGGAGTACTTCTGGACTTTCCTAGAAGGTTGCTAACTACCCACATATCTGCCGCGCATGAGTCAGAATCCACTTATGGGCAGCAGGTATGTGGGCAGTTAGTTGTCACAGCACCTGTGCTTGTACTAACTGGATCAAACAAACTAGACTGCTATCCACAGGGTCAGCGGTTCAAACCCACCAATCTCTCCTTGGAAACCCTATATAGGTTTGCTATGAGTTGGAACCAACTGGAGGCACCTAACAACAAGAACGCATCAAGCTCTCATTATTACTAGATTACAATGCTACATCAAATCCCCTGGTTTCGTCCGCACAAGCTATGAGCATGCATTTTTGTTTTCCTTATTGACATATTTTAGTAGCTAATATGATCAAATTTTCTAGTGTTCTAGTTACAATACTGTGGACCTACAAAGATTAGTGAACCTGTATCAATACTCTTTTTGAGAATAGAGTTATAATTAAAGGAAAAGAAGAAGAAATATAATTAAAGGCTTCCATTCCATTACTAATAATGTTGTAATTCAATGTAGAAAGATCTTACAAAATAATTTTGTTGCTAGTATTCATATAATCTAAGAAACATTACATCTGAGCAATTTACAATGATATGTATCACATCTTATTCTATGATTAAAATCAATAGTAAACATTATTAAGAATTTTGTATGGATGGCTACGTTGTTGTTGTGGTTAGGTGCCATTGAGTTGGTACCAACTCATAGCGACCTTATGCACAGCAGAACGAAATACTGCCCGGTCCTGGGCCAATCTCACTACTGTTGCCACGCTTGAGCCCACTGATGCTATGCTCCCACTTGGCCAATCCATCTCACTGGGGGGTCTTTTTCTCTGACCCTCCACCTTACCAAACATGTTATCCTTCTCCAGCGACTGGTCCGTCCTGACAATATGTCCTAAGTATGAGACACAAACTTTGGCCATCTGGACCTCCAAGGAGCACTCTGGCTGCACTTTTTTCAAAACAGATCTATTAGTTCTTTTGGCAGCCCGTGGCACTTTCAATATTCTCTTCCAATACCATAACTCAAATGCGGCAACTCTTCTAAGGTCTTCCTTATTCACTGTCCAGCTTTCACATGCATATGAGGTTATTGAAAATACCATGGCTTGGGTTAGGTGCACCTTAGTCCTCAAGCTGACATCTCTGCTCTTCAACACTTTAAAAAGGTCTTGTGCAGCAGATATGAATAATGCAATAC